AACGGTGTGATGATCCGAATTGATTCGTCACATCTAACATCCGATAACCATAATCCAAATAAATACAAGCCAGATGTTGCAGATGAGTATTTTCTTACATCTGATGATATAACAATTTATTATTTACCAAATCAAGACCAGTTTGTAAGAACTTTTGCTTCGACAATATCAAAAATGAATCTTTTCTCAGATAAAACATCAATACTGGAAATGGTATGTAAAAATCAGCACGGTTATTATTTGAGCAGTATCAATATCAAAAAGCCGTTTATAACCGATATGTCGCTGAATTATGGTAAAGGTTTTCTACCCGTTCATGAAAAAGTGATAAAAAGTTTGAACAAAAAAGAAGGAAAGGGCATTGTACTTCTCCATGGAGTGCCAGGTAGTGGTAAAACACACTATATTCGCTATCTGATTCATGAAATTAAAGATAAAACACTCATATATGTTCCACCTGATATGGCCAAAGAAATATCTTCACCTGAGTTTTTACCATTTCTAATGCAGTATCAAGATTCAATATTGATTATAGAAGATGCCGAAAACATTATCAAAGATCGTAATGATGTCTTTATTCCTAATCAGGCAGTTGCCAATTTATTAAATTTATCCGATGGTTTACTAGGAGATGCCATGCATCAACAGATCATTGCCACATTCAACTGTGATTTGAAATCAATTGATAAAGCTCTGTTGAGAAAAGGTCGACTGATCGCCAATTATGAATTCAACAAACTTGACGTAGAAAGTGCTAGAATGTTATCGCATAAATTAGGATTTACAAATGAAATCAGTGAACCAATGACATTGGCTGAAATTTACAATCAAGCGGGAGTAGACATGGAAGATGTTCAACATCAGAACGGACATATCTCTGAATAAATCATTTCACTTTTAAAATTAAGTCAGTTATTTTTGTTTAATTTTGTTGTTCTTTGAATGTTTGCATTCAACGTAAAAAACCCTAAATAGAATTATTCACAAGGCTTCACCATTATTTCTAGAAGTCTATAAAATTTGTGTACCAAAAATCAGTGCAAACTTCTATTAGTCTGCTTCATCTACTCAGATAAGTGCGTTATATCAATCAGTTTCTCTAGTACTAAATTCTAGTAGACTCCTTTTATTTGAGAACAGTATAGCATGCTGTATTCAGCCGTTCATCAACTTGCTGCTCACAATGTCTTTAGAGATACAGTTTATCGTTCAAGAAGATAAAAACTTTAATAGCACCGTAAAACATAATTAAAATTTGATTTGAAATAAACATAGTGGAATTTTTGAGTCATTTATCCTCATTTTCAACACAAAGAAGGGATAAAATGGATAATACTAACAAATTAAATACAATAAGCCTAAGAACATTTAAAATAGAGGATAGTCGATGACTACAGTAAAATAAGTATTAATTTTCTTTTAAAATAAT